CAGATCAACGCCGTCCAATGATGATGATGATGATGATGATGATGATCGTCGCTCTCTAGATTGGAGTGCGAGTACGTAGCTTAACCAAAGTTTTCAAGAACCATATCACTATGAACAAGTTTGGTTGGATATACTCACGCACCGAAGGTTTGGTCGTTATCCACCTTACTACATCTGCTTGCGTACAACGGTTTAGCCAGACCGGAGTTAGAAGCCGTATTGTCCAGTTTGACTTCAAGGTCACGGATTTCCAGAATCACTACTATGGAAATAGATATAGAACACGATATGTATTGTTCTTTAAAGTCCCTAGAACTAATGGATCTGGGCAAGCGTGTCCAGACAGTCATATCCAAACCATCAACCCGTTTCTGTTGGCTTTACGATATTTCTGCATTGTCACGTCAACAACCTTACATGTCAGGATGATTAGTATGCAACTAATATAGCTGCAGAGAGCTCGGCGAAAATAAGACCTTGGGGAGTTTTTATACACTCGTGAAAGTGCCACCAACATTGGTGTCGTACACCAAACAGGTAAGCTGAAAAGTTGCCCATCTATTTCTACAAAATAAGACAATCAAAATGGCGTGTATCGGTCTAAGAAGCAGAGTACACGAACTATAACGTTTCCCATCCAATATGAACGGATAAAAGAAGGTCGCATTAAAAAAATACAGCCATTGATACCCGAAAAGTTGCAAATGAAGGGCGACGTCTACGTCGACTGGAAGAAAAGAACTATGAATACCGTTTGACAATGCTAGATAGAATATCGGTCTCGAGCTATGATCGTTGGCTTGTTCGCTGAGCTGGGCAATTTGATTGCAAACGTTTCATCATCAATCGAGGTGACATCATCAGTGCGTTATTGGGGAGCGTAGTAGTGCGTAGCGGTGGGTTGGTGGTTGTGCAATCAAACTGCCTAGTTCACCGAACAAGCCAACGACCACCATCTACGCTACCTGATCTACCAACGTCTTCCTCTGTAGTCTCGAGATATGAACTGTGCGAGGTAGTTGCGCCCGCTGCCACCACGTGATTTTCAAAATTCTCGTGAAGCTGTTGACCGATCGACCCACTCACCTAGCCACACTGACAGCGCTAGGGTATTCAGTCCCATAATCTGACTGTCAGGGTGTGACACAACTCAGCGAAGTCGATGACTACAAAGGCATGTGAAAAACGCAAGATTTGAATTCCATTGGCCTCCTCAATTAGACTCCATTGTGATCCGAGTTCCTTTCGCCTTATCTACAGAAAACGCACGCCAAATTCCTCTCCTTCGAAACCGACCAAGGTACAAAAAATATCCATCAGATTGCTTTTGAAAGCAGTGCACACCATTTCGTCAGTCTGCGTTACGACAGTCTGTTAATTACGACTTTATCGCATCGCTTTTCCTTATCAGAGACTGACTTGGTGCGAGTTATTGGACAAGAACCGGGGAAATTGAAGGGTTACAACCAGATATAATATTATTTCCTTTCAGGCATTTGGTGATTGATGAAACACCGCTGGTTTTCACATA